TTTGGAAAATAGAAAAAAAATTTGCAAAAATTAAATTTTTTTTTTAATTATTTAAAACATAATTTCATTTATAACAATTTGACTAATTTAAATTATTTTCATTTTAATTTATTTCATTTAATAACTTTGCCCAATTAGATAGTGTAATTATAATTTTACATTTTATTACTCTTTTGTCACTAAAAACGAGTAGAAATTATTGATGTAATAAATTGAATGCAATTATAAAGGAAAATTTAAAAGTAGCAAAAAAAGGAACAAAAAAATTATTATTATTATTATTATTATTATTGTAAAAAATTATAAAAAAATTCTATTTGATTTCTCCACTCGTTGCTAAATCGATCCATACTGACATTGTAAAATAAATTATCCAAGAAGGTTACTTTTACACGAAAGGAGAAAAAAAACTGCTACTAATTTTTGCAATAAGTTTAGTGCATGTAAGAAAGAAGTAATTAAAGTAAGAAGCTTATCTTATCAGATTATTACACTCAATGCACTTTTGTTCTCTTTTTTAACTACATTTATTTTCACTGCGCGAACAAAATTTAATTTTTCTTATTTAACTTTTCGCTTTTTGCATTTTAAACAATAATTAATAATATAAATTATAACTCTCTCTCTCTTCGAAACTTTACAATAAATTTTTCTTGTAATTTCATTAACTGCATAAAATGTGCGCATATTTATTTAAAAAAAAAAAATGCACTTTGATCAAGTAAAGTTTGCAAGCTTTGATAAAATTACTTCACGGTATTTAAAATTTTCACAAGGTAACATTTTTTTTTTTTTTTAAATAATTTTTAATATTACTTAAAAACGAAATATTTTTTTCGAACTTAAAATTTATTGTAAAATAATTATTATTAAAAATCGAAGAATATTTTTCTAAATTATAAATATTTTCATCTCTCGCACTTTACAGTTATTTTCCATTACGTCCCATCTCTCTGATGAATACGTCTCTCTTTACATTTTCTATATATAACGTTGTTACATTTTATGAAACAAAAGAAGACGAGGTTGTTCACAATATAGAAATAAATGTGAAACCTAGTTTTAAATTGTTGGCAAATGTAAACTTCAATTACATTTATTTAATAATAATATGTAATACGAGTATATGTTATTTATACTGTATTTAATTTCTAAAAAAAAAAAAGGAAAACCACTAGAAAATGAATAATAATGGAATGACAATGAGAGAAGAAATAAAATGCAGAAAACAAACACTAAAAAAAAAAGTGAAAAACAAAATAAAAAGGAAAACAACGGGAAAAACAAATAAGCATCAAAGGAAAAAAGGAACAAAAAAAATCTAAGTAAAACGCAAAACCATTACAGAGTGAAAATAAAATGGATGAATATAAAGAAAATGACACAAATTGAATAAAAGCAGAAGAAATAAAATAAAACAAAAAGAAAAACAAAACAAAAAAAAAAAATAGTAAAAAAATTTTTTTTTTTAAATTAATTTTCTTGATAAATAAATTTTCTGCTTAATTAATTTCTTTTCTATTTAAAGTAAATAATTTGCAAAAAAAAAAAAATTTTTTAATTTATGAAATAGAAAATTATTTTTTTATCATAGAGAAAAAAAAATTTTTAATTTATGAAATAGAAAATTATTTTTTTATCATAGAGAAAAAAAAATTTTTAATTTATGAAATAGAAAATTATTTTTTTATCATAGAGAAAAAAAAATTTTTAATTTATGAAATAGAAAATTATTTTTTTATCATAGAGAAAAAAAAAATAATAACAAATGTTTTACTAAAACTGGAATAAAACTTTTAACGTGTTGTATATAACTGATTATTGAATTGCGCACACACAATTTGTTAGGAAAGACAAATTTATATAGATAATTATACCTAATGCATATTGTATTTACTTAAATTCTCTATACTTATATATATATGTATATAGAAAAACTTTTAATACTGAACTAGAAATAAGAAGTTTCTTTTTTTTCTATTTATATCTGTCCGACAATTGAATTGTACTACTTTTCACCAGTTTAACTTGTTCTCAACACTAAATACTTTTAGAGTATTTTATTAAGTTACAAAATGAAAATGTTTCAATTACAATTTGATCGACAATTGACTTGTGTACTACTATAATTTTTTATTTTTAGAAAAAAAAAATTCTACCAGCAAAATGTGAGAATATTGGGGTGAAAAAAATTACAGCGATATATAAACGTATGACTGATGATTGACTCATACTACTACCACTGTGTACTACTAACAGGCTGATTAACGATAGACTTGTACTACTTATTTTCGAGAAATTTCTAACTTCCACCCTAAATGATTCTAATCTTACAGAATATAATATATATTATTTATTATTATTTACTATTATTATTTTTATTATTTTTATTATTTACTATTATCATTATTATAATTTATTAATTAATATTATTTATTTTTTTTTTGCATTTTTGAGAGTAAATATCTCCGGGAAAAAAACTTTTACAAATTAAAAAAATTATTATATATATAATAAAATGCAAATTATTTCAAAACTTTTTTTTGTTTTTCTTTATTATGTAATATTGTAAATGACAATTTTATTTAAATGTATTTTGTAATTTTTTTTTTATTCTACATATTTTTCTTTTTCAAAAAATAATAAAAAAAAATTATTATTTCCAAGAGAGAAAAAAAGAAAGTAGAATAAATTACTCTTCCAAAGGAATATTCTCTCTTAGAGAAGAAATAATAATAAATTTTAATAACGCACACACACACCTTATACCAATCAAGGAGAAAAGTATGACAAGGAAAATTTTTATCTATAAGTTTTTATCTCTAAACTTCAAAATTAATGTAAATAATGTGTCAATAGTGTTTAAATAAAACTGAAAAAAAATTTATTTATTTGTAAATTCATAAATATTAAACGGAAAAAAATTTTTTATTTTATTATCAAAATTTATTTCGATAATTCTATTTAATAATTAAATAATAAATGCCATTTTTTAGAATTTTATTATTAAAATAAAAATATTCTTTGCCATGAATAAATTATTATTTCTGTCGCAAATATAATGTGTATTTAAAATAAATTTTTATTTCTAATTAAATGATTTATTTAATATCAAATTGAATGATTTATCATTAATTAAATGATTTATCATTAATTAAATGATTTGTCATTTCAAATTAAGTGATTTATTTTATTTCGAATTAAATGATTTATTTCATTTCAAATTAAATGATTTATGTCATTTCGAATTATTTTGCTGCGGTCATTTCTGTATATAAAATTAATTGACGATTATTTTTAAATGAATGAATTCTGGTATTCCCAATAGTTTGCTCTTAAAAATTTTAATTTATAAATTTAATAAAAAAAAAATCATTGAATTTCAGCGAAAAAAAACTGTACTATCTCTATATGTGAATTAGTAAAAACTTTACTGACTTTCACTTCTAACAATATAGTTGAATCAGTAAAAAAAAAATTGCAATGAAAATCAATCACAAAGAACTGAACTGTCATTTTTTTTCAATAATTACTATTATTTTTTACTATTCTAATTACTAATTAAGCATTACTAGTTGTAATTACTAATTAGTACCTAATTATTATTCTACTTTCCATATAATACAAAGTAAATGACAATTTGAATTATTATTATTATTTTAATATTCTGATTAATTCTAATTACTAATTAACTATTACTAATATTAATTACTAATTACTAATTACTATTTTATTTTTACTATAATTCAAATACAACTGAAATTTTAGTAATTTATTTATTATTATTATTTATTTTTTTTATTATTATTATTATCATTATTTTGATTTTTTAATTTTAATTACTAATGAACTATTATTAATATTAATTACTAATTAGTATCTAATTACTATTGTATTTTCACTGTAATGCAAAATAACTGAAATGTTAATTATTATAATATATAGATATATTTTATATTATTATTTCATTATTATTATTTTTATTGTTATTATTATTATATATTTGTTATTATTTTAAATTATTTTAATCAAGAGCCAAAAATTTTAAACGTTCAAATGAACAAAATATATTTTTTTTTAATCTATAAAGTATTAAAAATTATAATGTCAATGTATAATAAAACAGTAAATTAAACAATTATTAAATTAAATAACTTCTTTTTAGATATTTAAAACAATATTTTGTAATAAAATTCGTACTTAAAGAAGTTGCAAAAAAAATTTTGTTCATTTGAACGTTCAAAATTTTTTGGCTCATTTTTAATAATTGAAAAAAATGACTGAAAATTCACTTATTTTCGAGTGATTTTCTCTTTGAGATTTTACTGATTCGAAATTGTGAAAAGTGGGTGGCGAAATTTTTTACTGATTCAGTTCTAGAAGATAAAAAAATTTCAAAAAAAAAAAATACCTCCTCAATTTTTTGAACATAATAAACGAAAATTTCTTTTTTCAATAGAAAAATAGTTTAAAAAACTAAAATAATTCTAATAGGAGGGGAAAAAAAAAACAGTAAATTAAATATATTTATCAAGTTCATAATTTATATATATATATATCTCTCTTTGGATGAAATTTCACTTAATTCTTTTAAAAGAATATTAAAGAAAGAATATTCTTGTTAGAAAGAATAAAATCTAAATGAAAACTAGACAAGATAACTTGTCCGTCCCTCACTTATCACTGTGCTTGTTCTACATATAAACTTTTATTTCCCTCCCTTGAAAACCCTCTTCTCGCACATCTTATCTTCCCACGACCATTTTCTCCACTTGACAGTTAGAAACTTTACATGTATAATATAACTTGCAACATGTATTTATCATAAAAAGAGGAAATTGCAACATAATGTTGAAAAAAAAAAAGTTTCACTGGAACAGCGATATGTTTCATACTGAAACAGAGAAAGTTTTCCATATACCAGAGAAACATATAGTTGTTTCAAATAAAAAAATTTTTTTTTTTTTTTTTTCAAAAAAAAAGATAAAGAAACTACTTACAGTTGAGAATCAAGTGTACAATGACAATGATGTCACACAAACACATTAAAATAATTGTGAATAATAAACGTGTCCACGCGGCTTTACAAATTCGATTTCCGGCGGGTAAATTGAACTAATTAATTGAATCGCGAAGATAACGTGCGGCCTATGGGGAACATGCACACGATTTGTCGTTTGAGGGTATATATATATATGAAAGGGGTAAGTGAGAGGCTGTGAGATATAATAGAGAATGAGAGAGATAGGAGAGAGGACCACTTGTAGCGCCGGCGGATGACCGGGCGCGTAAACCAGACTGGCGGGTTGGCAAACAGGTGAGAGGGTCGCGTGTCTCACTTCCCTCTCCCTTTTATCATTCTATCTCTCTCTCTCTTAACCAACCTTCCTCTATACTCCCAGAAATCTTCTCCCCCATTTACAAACTCCCGGATAGCCATGGTTTCTCCCTCTCTTCAAACCCTATATATACTCTATATACAGGGGTTGCGTCAAGCGCTTGCGTCGAAAAGCTCGCCATCGATCTATTTCAAGCTTTCTCTCTCTCTCTCTCTCTTTCAACCCTATATATCCTTTTCTCTGTGTGTTGAGGCCAGGCCTAGCCTTCTTCCCTGCTGCCTGTTTCCTTCCTTGCCTGCGAGAGCAAGTGTAACTTGACAAGAGATATACTCTCTCTTCTTCGGGGGCATTTACGCTCTCTCAAGAGCCTGGGATTAAGAACGAAATGAAGGGTCTTGGTACATATATATATATATATATATATATATATGTGTGCTTTCATGGAAAACTTTTGATACAATCTCAACACAATAAAATGTTGTGTCCTACACGTACGAAAGATTAAACGTTATTTTTTTTCCCCCCCCCAAGGATTATTAATGTCGCTGTTTTAAAGCGAATCATATTGAAAGAGGAATAGGAAAAATAAACTATATTTTTCATTATAAAATTGATATTATATGCAAATGAATTGCTGTATATTCGAATATAGGGGGAAAGAGGATAAAAAAGAAAATGTTAGTTTAAGATAAGGTCTGAAAGTAAGACTTAATCTAAACTAAAATTTTTAAAATATTTTAATGCTATTTTTAATTCTAATTAACGAAAAACGGGAGATTTTTTTATTAAAATCTTAATTTAAGAAGCACTGGTCTTAAAATCAGCTACTTTTTCTATATAATTATTTTAAATTCAGTATATAAGGAGTACTAAATTTTAGCATTAAAAAAACTACTAAAAAAAAAATAAAGCTTAACCATTTCGTTAGTAAGGTAACTAATTAAATAGTTATTACAACAAATTAATGAAATCAACTAATAAAATAGTTATGCCAACTAATAAAAATAGTAAAAACTAATTTACTAACTAAAAATGGTCATCTCAAAAATGGTAATCCCAACCTATTTTTTCTTTCAATGTATATTTTATTTTAAGACAGACAAGAAGTCTTATTGTAATACAAAAAAGAAAAATTATTTCTAATACAAAAAGGAAGTCTTATACTAAGACAGAAAAGAATAATTATTCTAATACAAAAAAGAAGATGTATTCTCGTTCTAATACAGAAAAAAGTATGGTTTTAAGACAAGTACTGTCTTATTTTAAGACAGAAAAAAGTATTGTTTTAAGTCAGGAACTAAATCTTATTCTAAGTCAGAAAAAGTCTTATTCTATTAAAGAAAAAAGTATTGTTTTAAGACAGGAACTAACACAGAAAATTAAAAGGCATTAAAATAAGCTGCAACGCTTATTATTTTAATCCAATTTTGCTCATTTTAATACCAAAATGGATTAAAATAAGCAAAATTGGATTAAAATAATAAGCATTGCAGCTTATTTTAATGCCTTTTAATTTTCTGTGAAGTCTTATTTTAAGACAGAAAAGAATTCTTATTCTGAGACAGAAAAAAGTATTGTTTTTAAGAAAGGAAGTAAGTCTTATTTTAAGATAAAAAAGAAGTCTTATTCTAAGACAGAAAATTGTATAATTTTTAGATAGAAAAAAAATTCTCGTTCTAATACAGAAAAAGTATTGTTTTAAGACAAAAACTAAGTCTTATTTTAATACAGAAAAAAGTCTTATTCTATTAGAGAAAAGTTGTAATAAAAAACAGAAGCGGAATCTTATTTTAAGACAGAAAAGACGTATTTTAAAATAGAAGAGGCTTCTTATTTTTATATAGAATAAAGTCTCTTTTTAAACCTGGAACTAAATAGTACTTTAAGTCAGAAAAGAGTTCTTCATCTAATACAGAAAAGAAGTCTTATTCTGAGACAGAAAAAAGTGTTGTTTTAAGAATGGTAGTAAGTCTTATTTTAAGACAGAAAAAAGTATTGTTTTAGGAATGGTAGTAAGTCTTATTTTAAGACAGAAAAAAAGTATTATTCTAAGACAGAAAAATGTATAATTTTTAGATAGAAAAGAATTCTTGTTTTAATACAGAAAAAAGTATTGTTTTAAGACAAGAACTAAGTCTTATTTTAAGACAGAAAAAAAAATCTTATTCCATTACAGAAAAGTCATAATAAAAGAAAAAAGCGAAGTTACTTATTTTACAACAGAAAAGAATAAGTCTTACATTTATAAGAGAAAAAAAGATTTCATTTCTGTACAAAATTGAGATTTTCATTTTACATCATATTCTTGTTTAGTCAACGAAAAATTTTATCTGACTCAATATAAATGAATATTTAGAAAATGTTCTCCTATATATTATAAAATTCCAACGAAAAATTCTCAGACTTTATAATACCTATATCTATAATAAAATATTTCGAAAAATTTCTTCAATCCAAAAAATTCCTATGAAATAAAATTTTGAAATTTTCATTTTCAAAGATTTTCAATAAAATCTTGAGTTTTACCTCAATATATAGAAATTATATTCTTATTAAAAAAAAAAAAAGTTGACAACATTTCCACATTTAAGTGTGCATCATTATTATTTAAAACATAAATTATAGACTTAGTTCACCCTTCATTATTATACAGAATTTCGCAATTAAAGTCAAGAAGTTTAGTTAACGAGATAGGGAAATCGTAATCCCATAAAGTTGTAATTATATGAGTAATAATAATAATAATAATCGTAATATTACTACTTATAATAATAATAATAATAATAATAATAATAATAATAATAATAATAAGGCTAATAAGACCATTAATAAAAATGCTAATAATAGTAGTTATAATAATATTAATAATAATAATATTGTATAATAATAAAAATAATAAAAATAATAATAATACTAAAAATAATATCAATAATGATATAATAGAAACAATAATAATGAATAAAGAAAATTTGTAATTGCAAAAGAAAAAGAAAAATGATCATCATCTATTTAACCTATGTGATAATTAGCCCTCACAATAACTGACAACAAAAATCCATCCCTAATTTTTTAAATTAGTCCCCCTCCAAACTGTGCTTCATTTTCATTATAGGTGTTAAAATAAATCCGCACACGTCTGACTAAATCGAATTTTTCTACTTCAGATGAAAAACTGTATTTATTAACATATACAAAACATTACTAAATTCGATTTTACTATTTTGAATAAAAAAAAAAATTGGACAATATTTATAATTTTTCTATATTTTAGTAAAATATTTTTTTATGTTAAAAAGATTAAATTTACTAAAACTGCACTTAAAAAATATAATAGAGAGAAAAAATAACTTTTAGAAAAGATTATTTTTCTTCACAGCCTACTAGCCTATTTATTTAGCGTAAATAATTTTTTTATTTAATTCAAATAAAAATCTATTTAAATTAAATAAAAATTTATTTAAATCAAATAAATATTTATTAGGCTGTAAGACAAATATATCATTTCTCCGGGTGTATGAAAAAAAACTAAAGTTGTCTCTTTTCATGTGGACGGACACACATTTAGAATTTTTTTTTTTTTTTTATCTAAAAGTAAAATTCATTTAACCTATTCTGCCTTTTACAGAAAAAAAATACTTTGAAAAAAGTGATATTTAATTTAACACTCTTTATATAGTTATATGTATACGAATGAAAGTGAATAACATGTGATAATCAAATTTTTCCCTTACTATCTATGTTTATCAAAATGTTTATATTATTTACAGTTAAAACACAATGAAACAAATTGATTTTGCATTCATTGAAAATACAAAGGAAATTGTGAGATATATGTATTATTTTAATATACTAAAATGAATTAAAATACAATTTAAAAAAACAGATCCATCGCACTCAGAGAAATGGTATATTTGTTTCCGAGCCTACTAACTCATTTATTTGTTGCAAATATATTTTATTTCATTAAAATAAAAAATTTATTTGAGCCAAAGAAAAATTTATTTCTGACAAATAAAATTTTTATTTACGCCAAATAAATAAGTTAGTAGGCTCTGAGACAAATATATCTTTATTTAATTCAAATATATTTTATTTGGTTCAAATAAATCATTTCTCTGGGTGCGGAAATTAAAATAATTCATCAAAAAAGATTAAAATTTTAAACTTTAAAAGAAAATCGAGGGGGAATTTACTCAGGTAGTCAAGTGTACAATCTTTCTGTAATACTTGTGTAATATCGTGTAATACCGTGTAATAATTCGTTATTACGCACTCAGAGAAATGGTATATTTGTCTCCGAGCCTACTAACTCATTTATTTGTTGCTAATATATTTCATTTCATTGAAATAAAAAATTTATTTGAGCCAAAGTAAAATTTATTTCTGACAAATAAAATTTTTATTTACGCCAAATAAATAAGTTAGTAGGCTCTGAGACAAATATACGTTTATTTAACTCAAATATATTTTATTTGGTTCAAATAAATCATTTCTCTGGGTGCGGTGCTGTAATAACGCAAAAAAGTCTGTAATAATGTGTAATACTCTGTAATAACGTGTAATGCTTAGTAATAAGGGTAATATGAGGTGTATTACCGGTAGTCAAGTGTACACGTTTTTAACTAGTAAATTCCCCCTCGAAGAAAATTAATGTAAAAACATTTATTATTTTTACCAAATTGAAAAAATAAAATTAATAAAAAAAAAAATAGATTACTTTAATCTTTAATGGTATATATTAATTTAATCAGCGCAATGCTTTTTAATATCTCATAGTTTGCTGAGTGAGAAAAAAAAAGAAATAAATAATTGACAAATAGAAAAGAAAATAATATTTGACATAAAGAATCTAAGTCCTTGAATGTCACAATTTTTTTTTTCTCCTTATAATCTAGAAAGAAAATCCGAATTCTGAGCGATTTACATATCGATTGTCTTTATGAATAATGTATCGCGTCTTTGATAACTCCATTGTAATTTCAAT